TCTTAACAAAATTGTTACTTTTTTAATAGATTTTTTTAGAGTTATTAATAAAATCTATTTACAATTATTTTTAAGAATTATTTATTAGAAGTAGGACTTCTAAAATTAATAAATTTTAAAAATTATTATTTTCGATTGTCGGATCCTATATGCATAACATGGGATATAAAATTATGTGATATGTGATATAATCGAATATGCATGGTGCAAATAGCAAAATCTATGGTACGAATAGCAGTTCCCTATAAATAAGATACGTAAATTCTATATGTTCTATCTTATACAACTTATATTCAATAATGTAATTGGTGACAGTAGAAAAAGCAAGGTGACGAGATATATTTTTTAATAAAAAAAGTAGTTTGATGCTTCTTTTTTTTTTTCTTGAACTGGTTTTATTTTTCTTCAAGATTAAAGAAAGGTTTTATTTCAATTCAGTAATAAGCTAGTTTTACTGTTAATTATCTTAAAAATGGTTAAAAAAAGAGATTTTGAAACTATTTACTGGTTGAATAAAGCTATAAATCCTTGAATATTTGGCTAAAAGAGAAATTGCCAATTAAAATATCAATACTCTTTAAAGGTTAGAAATTTTTAAGTATAAAGTTTCAAGAAATACTTTTCTGAAAGTACTCTTAAATAGTTTTGATCAACAATGGAATAGTGGAAATTAAATAGTTTTTCAGTTGCAAATAGTTGGATTAGATAGTAGTCAAAAAGAATTTTTGTTTTACCAATGCAAATCTTTCCTTTTTCTTTTTCTTCTCACTTTTAATTTTTTAAAAAATAAAAAATTTTTATCTCTTAGGATTACAGTTTTATATTGAGGTAATAGTCTAAATATATATTGGTAATGATCTTTCAAGACATAAACTTCTAATATTTTGTCTTGAAAAGATACAATATTATTATTTTTTATAATCACATTTAGAAAGTTTAAATTTAAACTTATTAATGAGTATTTTATAAAATTATACTAGTTTAGCTTTAGTATAATATCATATGTATTATATTGTATTATGTTTTCCAAAAATTGAATTAATAAATGCTTTTATTTGCAATTTAATTAGAGATTAAAAAAAAGATTTCAAGTATTTAATAATTCTTTTTTAAAAAAATTTTTTTATTTTTCATTAATTAATTTTATTATAATTTCTTTAATTTTCAAATTCATTAATATATTCTACTATATATTTACAATATTTATTTTCAGATTATTTTTTTTTTAAGTAGGTAAACATTATCTCTTTATTTATCATAAAAATTTTAAATTATTTAACATGTAAAAAGCTTTAACATTTCTCATATAATCAATTGATCAGTAAGTCTAATGCTAGCTTGCCTACAGAAACTATCTAAGTGATATGGAAAATAAATATTAAAACTGATATATATTCTAAATAGTACTGAGCAGCTATGAATACCTACTTAGGTTTATATGTAAAACTATAAAAAATTGAAAATTGAAAAAAAAAAAAAATACTAAACAAAAAAAATAAGTACAGTAACACTAATTGTAAAGTTATGGATGCTTTGAATAAAATCACTAAGCACATCACACTGGTAGTTTTATTTAATTGAAGTACTGTTGTATTTCCAGAAATAGTCAAACTACTGTCCAAAATATACAATAGTATTGACAATATATCTTTTTGATAAATGATTGGTCATGGTAGTAATATTGTTGTTGTAATGATATGATTTGTAATTGGTTTGTTTGTTGATGATATGATTTTGTTTTGATTGTTGTTGCCATAAAAGGTTTTGTTTATATTGATCATAGTATAGTGTTTTGGTTATATGGATTTGTTTAGAAAATTGATAATGTTTGATTGGTTAAGTTTGAAATGTTGATCAATTGACAGAAGTAAACTGATTGTAGTTTTTTGGTGAAAAATTTTTTGAGTGAGATTTTTTAATTTTTGGTGGTATAGCAAAATATGCTGAATGATAGTGAGAAGTAAACATTAAATATATTGTTGGTGCTCCAAGTTAACAATATAAACAATTTTGATGAGAAGTCTAGTTTTTTGAGATAAAGAGAAGTTCTCCAAGCAAAAAGTATAGCTATTTAAAAAGATTTGTATATTGTAAAAAAAAGAAAATAGAAAGAACCTCAAAGAAGATTTATAAAGAAGTAACTGCTACGAGCCTTTCTTTATGCAATCCAAAGAAAAAGCAAGGTCACCAAACTTGCTTTTTTCTGATCAGAAATCTTATCCTAATGCACCAGTATATTTCTTTAGTTTCTTTAAGACTCTTGCAGTAAAGAATAAGGAAATATGAAGAATTTTTGAATATTGAAAGGTAAAAAAAATATTTATTTCTTTAATTTTAAAGAAAAATTATTATAAAAGGAAATTTTTAAGAAAAAAGTTGTATATGGGAAAGAGTTTTTTTTATAATTATTATTTTCAGATTATGAATTTATTTAAATTAAGTATCATATAATAATAATTATTGTTTTATTGAATTGATATATGATATATCTTTTATATATTCTTTTAACTAACAAATAAAATAATGATTAATTTTATCTCTTGTTATTATATTATCAAATATTAATATAAAGTCCAAATAGATACATAATTACTTCTTTAACTATATTGAATTTTTGTTTTATAATACTTATCAAATCTTTTATTTGAAAAATTATTCTATAGCAAAAGTGATTATATTAAATGTATCAATTTGTAAATGAATTAAATAGTTATCTAAATAACTTAATATTAGTAAACAAGATACGTATTTTTATTTTATTTTCTAATTTTATAAATAATAAATCTTCATTTAACTTATCAAAAATTAATGAAATAGATACCTATTGAAATTTTTTTGTTTATTCAAGTATTCTTTACCTAGATGTAAATGTTATCTATTCCTTTTTCTGTGATAACTATTTAACCTATTGAGATTGAGCTTGATTGATGTTGGCTGTTGGTTTTGGTTTTGTTATGTTTTGAATACCTGATGTAACAAATAGTTGAAGTGTTAATATTGCATGTTGCCATGACATGTGGGACCTATTGACTGTTTACTGTGGATTTTAGACAAATCTGGGTAAACGGAAAAGAGTTTTTTTTTTGATAAAAAGTAAGATATAAATTATATGTATCGTTCATACAGTATATTGGAATTATTTTTTTTTATTTTCAAAACCAGGTTTTATTATTTTTTATTAAAAATATACGGTAGTATATTATTAACAACATATACGTCAAAGAATTTTTTGATAAGAAAATATGGATAATTATGCAATTTATTTATAAAATAGAATTTGCATAATGGACTGACTCTTTTAAAATTCAGATGTACTATAGGTTTGATATGTAACAGTCTGAGTTAAAATTGTGCGCTTACTTGTTTAACATTAGGTTTTTTTTTTTAACGACAAATATAAGCGTTATTTGACATATAAAAAATGATAATTTTATTAACATTTAACCACAAATCAAAAGTTGTACAATAAAATGGCGTCAAAGGAATGGTCAACTAAACGAGCAAGTTGGGACATTGCATTTTCTCAATTCCCGAAATAAATGTCACAACACACGCCTATACTTAAAATTTTCTCGACCGGACATCGTCGTCGTCATCATCGTCATCATCATCACCATCGTCGTCACCATTTCTACATTTTTCAGGGACAGTGTAGCTCTCTTTTCGGATACCGCCTCCCCATGGAGTACTACCAATAACTTTTGCTTTCAAACCGACTCCTCTCTTTGCAAATCCTCGCCAGATTTCACACGAATTTTCACCGTCCGTTAGTATTTCGTCGGCTTGAATAATTGCATTTCTGGCATCAATAAATGATGGTCGGCATGGTTGCAATTTCATCGCATCCACTACCAATTGTAGGGCAAGGGTATTACCATGTTTTGGTGTCTTGATTTTTTTCTCGAGAGATTTCTCGGAATACCATTTGGCCAAAGATGTAGGATGGTTGTCGGTCGGTGGGAACCATTCGGAGGTGAATCCGTGTTTATCTACAAGGTTCCAATATACTTCGTACAATAGTTCTGCCCAAACGGCTCTATTAGTAGAAAAAAAAATTAGCCACCTGTTTCAAAAAGTAAGGACTGTTAAAAAAGCATACCCTTTAGCATGGACGCCCCAGTATCCCGGTTTATCTAAATATGAAAAGGTTTCTGGATTGGTTTTCAAGGAGGTTGAATACTAAAACGTGCATGATTAAAAAAAAAAAAAATGCATTTAATATGACAAGCAACCAGAGTAAGAGCAAGAGCACAAAATAGGTGATCCCTACCATATACTTCCTTATGCCTTCGCCGCCGTTTGCCCAGTCACCCATGCCAAAATTTTTCGTACGATCAATAGTTGAATTAATCCGTAATATAGTAGCAAAGAAGTCACCCCAGCCTTCACCCATTCCACCTGCCTCACCCCACCCAAGGCAGTTGCTGTTTGCAGGTCCACCAGTTAATCTTGTGGAAATTCCATGGGCATACTCGTGGATCTGAATAAAGAAATTAAATCAACAATTCTTGAAAAGAGATGTATACAATTACGTGAAGGCATACGTACGATGATGCCAGACTCTAAATCACCATCACGCCACGGATTCACGACGTCCCAAACATACATACGCATTTTACCATTTTTACCGTCTGGAGGTGTCGCGAAATTGGCATTATTAAATCTGATATCAAAAAAAGTCAAAGTGTCGTTAGAACAGATACCTTTCCATAAATCGTTATTATTAGATGCCAATTTTGAACATACCCCGATCCATCTTGCGCGTTGGCAATTACAGCATCCTTGCCTTTTCCACCTTTTCCATGATTGTCTTGTTGGAAATTGCCGGCAACCTCGTCAAACCCGTAGCGATAAAACAGATCGTGAATCTTTTTTTTTCATACGGAAAACTTCGGTTAGCAATCGGGTAAGCGAGGAGTAAGATGACACCCATCTAAGATTCATTACTTACGAGGTTATTCCAGTAGAATAAGTTCGTAACTGAAGCATCGATGTAAGTCTTTGGGGACTGAGTCAAATCCAAGGGGAAATCAAAGACTAACAGGTCACCACCTTCAGGGCGATAATTATCCTCCCAATCGTGCTTCCCTTTCAAGTTTTCATGGGCATAAACGTTATTACCAACTGTTTTTGTAAAGTTTTTTTTACCCTGAGTGTGCCAACCACTAGGGGAAGCCACTATGTCATAAGGATCTTCTAATAATTCTCTTTTGCCGTCTGATGGATCATTAACACCCAAAGGAAATACATTATACGTGGCATCTGATACCCAATCAATGAGGGAAATAACGTCGCCAGTATAAGCGTTTAATTGAGCATTATACCAATTATCTTCCATTTCGACTTGGATGTCCCAGGTGAGTTGCAAAGATTGATCGTCCAATTGAATGTAAGATTGACTCATTCTCACATCGGAGAGAGCGAACGGTACATTGGAAAGAAAAAGAGCTTGATCACTGCCGTCAAGACTGCTGTATTCCATGTACTCTATCTTTTCCGGATGCGGTATTTCTTTATTTATGAAATGTGCAAAAGATTCCAACGCTTTTCCGGGGGAGATAACCTCACCAACCTGATCGTTGATGTGATAATATGATTCTTCTTCACTGGTCACGTGCCGACCGGGAAGAAGGACGGAGTCAACACCCGCATCATTGCCGAGTATAATTTGAGTACGATAGGAATTGCCGAAGAACTCTTGAGCGGAGGTCTTTTTTGACCTTGGAATGACGAACGAGTCGCCATAAGATATGATCCTGCCAAATCGATCAACGTTCACGTTTAAATCAGCATTGGCCACGATCAAATCGTTGACGACCTGTTTGAAATAAACATGCGTGACACCATTATGATCTGACTTATAAGAATCTTTAACGATGAATTTAGCGATTGGATGCAATTTAGTAGAAACGAAATCTATCGCAATTTCTTGAGGATCGGCAGTGCTAAAATCCGAAAAAGTTCCATAATGAATTATTGAAGGAGCCTCGTATCTTCGGTGATTAAGTTCGGGGCCGAAGTTTTCCCGATGACCAGGTGACAAGTTATGAGAGGTGGCGAGAGAAAAGGTCAAGAAGGACCAGGTGAAAACCAAAAGTCGAATCTGTTTCATTATTTGATAATCACGCAACGATCATTCATGCAAATTGTATAATGTTCTATTATCGTGTCAGCAATAATTCCAATCAATAGATTTTAGAAAATGAAATAGGTCGTAATAAAAAAGTTATTCATAAATCGAGACCGATAGAATGTAAAGAAAAAAAAATGAAATGAAATGGGTGAAGGAACCCTTAGAAAAGAAAACGGTAGAAAAAATCGGGGTTAAGGTCAGCCTATGCGTTATATATACGTAAATTGGGCGTTCAATATTGCATAGATGCTTTATTCAGGATAAAATCCGAGCGCAAAAGAGCGTCAAAAGGAAGGTCACTTGACACCTTAATGCATAAAGAAAATGTGTTCTCTACAATATATGAACAAAGGTAACACCGAACCTCTTTTGGAATGTATGCAAGCTGATCCATTCTTATCGCAAATAATTAGAAAAGCAAACAATAGTACAGAATTCTATAGTAGGTAGGAACCACTCATGAGAGATTCAGAAGGCGTAAGCAAACTATGACAAATCGCAAATGAAAACATTACAGAATATTTATATTATGTACCTTTCGTGTACGTACGTGCGTACAATATACCATATATACGTTATCCCGAAATCAGGGAGGTTGAATCCGAGTTAAAAGATTACTTGGCTTGTTCACGCGACGTGTCACAAACACCCATGGAACTTGACTTTAGTGACTTTAGCATCGATAACTGGTATTAGTTAGTCATTTTTCCACGCATATCAAAAGCTTTGCTAATACACAAAGTGAACAAAGGCAGACAGACAGTTATCGTAATCACGATTTATTGCGTGAATTTTCATAAGCTTGTAATATCTCTTTGTTTTAATCAAAAAAGTCTCGCTCGACCATCGAGGAACGCCCTAATCCCAGGGGGTACTGAATACACAACTACATAATCTTGCAGATGGGATATTATTAAAGAAGTGTTAATTCGCCAAATTATAGGCAAAAACCTACTTCCGATTTTGGAAAAGACAAAAAACTTGAACTTGATTAAAAAAGCAACGCGTTAAAAACTGAATTTCACAGTACCGAGATTTTATTCATAAAAAAAGTTTCACGCGCTTGTGTAATCTTTTAATTAAACGATGTAAAACCTTAATAATATTAGTGTTTCACCGGTTACAGCAGTTGCATTATTAAAAAAATTACAGTTGGTAAAATGGATATACATCATCTTAATTATTATACAATGTAAGACATAAAACCGCATTCACTTTGGGATAAGAAAATGGTCAGATCACATGAGTTTAATCCGGCGTAGCATATTTATTAAAAATTTTGACGCAAATCCGCACATGTTCCCGATATGCGGGTGAGTGTTACCAAAAGATTATGCTCAATCCATATAATCTCGACATGCATAATAGGTAAACGTTTGGAACCTCCTCATAGAATTTCGCCAACCGAAATCAACACTATGATCTTACCTTTCTTACCAGTATCGAATTTTTGCATAAATTAATAATAGTATTTTAAACAAAATCACTGAATAAAACTATGCTGTATGCACGAAAGGTTCCCTCTGAAATAACAAAGTCCTTTAACGAGAATCATTCCGTAACATCAACGATCAGAAGTAACATATAATACTTAATTGTTAATCTTTTTTTTTCCTAGACAGGTATCTGGCCCTTGCATCAGAAATCGCTTTATCATCATTCTTTCTTTCCAATTTACTTAACAACTCTTGCTCCTTATGTTTTTCTTCTTCCATCCTTTTTCGCTGAGTTTCTAAAATTTGATTTTCTAATTCTCGACTTTGCCTCTCGCGACGACGCATTTCATCGCTATTCTTGGAATTATATTTATTATCATATCTTTTGCTATCATTATAAGACCTATTACGTGATAAATTATCTGACGATCGTGATATAGAAGTTTTCTTTTTTACAACGTTTAACCCAGCTGACAGAAGTTGTCGTTTGTCCACTATTTGTTCATCATCATTCAATATTACCATTTTACCGGCTGCTCTTGCTTGATCTGCAAGCTCCTTGTCAGTTTTTGGTTGTTGATCGGTAGAATCATCTTCTATCGTATCTGACTTTGACCTCTTAGACCGACTTGCTTCTATGGCTGCAGTTTTTGATGAACTAGTTTGATCTAATAATTTCCTATAAAACGATGTCATATCTTTCGCTCCAGCTGCATTCTTCTCTTCTACAAAACGATCCCAGGTGTGAATGTCGTGACCAATTGAAATATAAATATATACATTTTTTATTCATTTACCTCGCAGCCTTTCTTCTTCCTCAGCTTTTCTCAACTCTTCTTGTTGTGCTTTATATCTGTTCACGATTAAATAGTACTTAACGTGCAAGTAAAGAAAAGGATAATAATTTTCGAGCATGATGGACCTACGCTGGTGTTACGAAAGTTTCCATTCCTTCGAATTCGCCTCCTTCAGCTTCTCGTTCTTTTTGTACCTTGCGCTCTTGAGCTCGAATATAATCTCGCTGTCGAATTTCGGCGGCTTTCAATAAACTATCAACATATTTTGGCTACAAGCAAAAAGTATCGTGAATATTCATAATAAATTATAATGCTATAAGATCTATCAAAAAATTAATGCAAAAACCTTTTTAATGCGACCTTTATCTTTTCCTTTGATCTCCTCTAATCTCTTTCTTTCAGCACTTTTCATATCATCATACACTTCATCGTATGCAAAAGCAGTGGGATCTTCTTCCAACGCTTCTTTATACTGTTCCTGAACTGATTGACTTATAGAACTTGAAGACAATATTTGCTCATTGACGACTTTCATGTAGGATTTACTACCGTTTTTGCGAACGTCAGTAATCCTGTTGGAATCTTGGTCATCGTCTTCATCAAAAATTGATGCTCTTTTTAGTTTTGGAGGTTGTGCGGAGGACTTTTTAGAGGTCAGGTTGAGACCGTATACCAATGGTTTATTTTGCTGCATCTGTGTTCGGACAAGCACGTAAAATATAAAAAAAATTACGTTTTTCACAGTTAATGATGACCGGTCAGCTGACATACATTATATGTTGTACATTATATGCTATTTTTTCTAAAATTAAAAAAAAACTTGCCTACTACATTTTTTCCAAAGTGTATCAATTGATATTTATTTATCAATTTTTTTCATATTCATTCTTATTTCAACCATTATCTTTATTAACTCCATCAATTTTTTATTTAATAAAAAATGAATTCAAAAAGAAACTTTACTAATTAAAAAAAACAATTTTTGAAATTGCCGAAATTTTTTTTAAAAAAATCAAAAATGAACTTATTTTGATCATTTAATTATAACTTGGCTTAATTAGACAAATGAATTTATAAATACTGCCTGTATATTGTATCTCGAAATTTTTTTAAATTGAAAAAATAATAATAATAAATCATAAGTGTAATACTGTATTTTGAAATTATACTTATATATTGAAAAAAATCTTTAATGCATTTATTTAGTTTGCATATCAAGTCATTTATCAATTTTTAATCAAAAAACAATAATACACTAGAACTATTATACTACAGCAAACCATTCTTTAAAATAATTTTTGAATATTAATATTAATATTTTTATTTTTATATTATTCTTATAATAAAATTATAAGAAAATAAATTTATTAAATGATTATTATTATTTTTCAATTAGGCTAAAGTCATTTATTTATTAAATCAAAATAAATCAATACAATAAAAATTATATATATGTGATATCTAGTTTTATTAAATATCTGATTATTGTTTTAGTATTAAAAAAAATTAAAAAAAAACATAAAATATTTAAAATAAAAAATCTTAAAACTTATTTTAAATATAAAAACTTGATAAATTTTAATATATAAATTATTTATATAAATTATTGATATAATTAGTTATAATAAAATTTATCTGTATTACATATATTTGAAAATTTAATAAAAGAAAATAAAAAAAAAAATAACAATTAAATTTTATTAAATAAAACAAACTATTTTTTTTTTTAAAAGAAACAAATAACTATTATATTTTATTAATTATTATATTTTTCCTTGTAAAACAAGATTACAATATCTTTAATACAATATATATTTCTTTTTGTTAAGAAGAGTTTAATACAAGATTAAAAAAAAAATAGTTATATCCTTATATTTATTAGTACTATTCAAGAAATATAAAAAAAATTTTTTTTAAAAATCTATATTATTATCTTAAATAATATTTAACTATAGTATGAAACAAAAATAATTGAACAACATATTAATTTTTATTTTTGTAATAGTTCAATAACTAATTGATAAAATAAGATAAAAATCTATATTAATACAATCATATCTTATTTATATCTCCACTTTGGAATCCAAGATTTTTGGAGATATATCTAAAGTTGAAATATAACTGAGGTATAGTATTTTCATAAATAATATTATGCAATTTTATTGGTTAATAAATTTCATTAATGAAATTTGGCATTTTGACATTTCTACTATTTATCTAAGTGCTTAATTATATTGTGAATATATCTTATATCACTTTCTGTTATAAATTCTTTTTGTTTTAAAAACTTTCTGACTATTACAAATGCTTCTCTTTCTACCTTTACAAAAATACTTGTTTCTTCTTCCTCACTTGAATCTTCAATATCTACTTGTGTCAAGTGTAAGACTTCTTCAGTCAAAAGAATTTCTTCAATGAGTTTATTATCTGTAGGTAACTCTGTATTAACCAAATTATTATCTATCTCAATATATTCATTTGCTGTCAAACTATCTATTGAGGGTTCTGTAATACTAAGATTATTTAAAGCTGAAATCAATTTAACTATATCATTATCAGCTTCATTAGTTTTCATATTATCTGTATTGACATATGTCATTTCTGCAGTTAATATTCCTGTGCTTAACTAGCAGTTCTTTATTGTCTCTTGTTTTATATTGTCCCAAGTGTCTGCAATTATTTCAATTGCTTCTTTAATGTTTAGTTTTTTCATCTCTTGTCCTTTATTCAACTCATAAATCCATTGTGATATTAATATCTTTCGATAATAAATTTTAAAATTGTGAATAATTCTAGCATCGCACGGTTAAATGTAAGCCGTCATATTTGTTGAAAGAAATTTAATTTGTAAATTTTTAAGACCGAGAGATGAGTCATCTGTATGCACAAGACAATTATTAATTAACAAAAGTGATTTCAGAGATAGTTGATTGTCAAACCACTTCAGCCATTTATTCCATCTTTCAATTGTCATCCAGACTTTTTTATTGCTAAAATATCTGACGGGCAATATTGTCAAGTTTATATTTTTGAAACAATAAGAATTTTTGACTTTTCCTATAATAAATGGTTTTAGTTTTTTTATTTCCATTGCATTGCAACAAAGCAAGACTGTAATATGTTCTTTGTCTTTTTTAGTATCTTTTGCTTTATCATCTTTTAATGTAAGTATTTTGTTTGGACCTAAACGGAAGAAAAGTCCTGTTTTATCTGCATTATAAATATCATCTATATTAAATATAGCTATTATTTGTTATAATTCTTTTCTTTTATTCTCTATTTGATTAAGACATGTGAATTCATTTTTACCAGTGATGGTTTTGCAACAAATGTTATATCGATTCTGAAACTTTTTCAACCACTCATTTGATGCTTCAAAATTAGGAAATTATGCGTCCTATTCTATAGCCTTATTATAAAGTTCAACTGTCTTCATTTTTAACAAATCTTGAAAAACTGAAATATTTTAACTACGTAAATTTTCAAACCATTTATAAAATGTCTCTTCTAATGAATAAAATTGTACCATCTGAATACATATTTTTTTCAGATCTGAACTTTTAGCATCTGTATACAACTGTAGAAATTTCTCTTTATTTTAAAGAATGTTACTTATAGTAAAACATTTTACATCAAACTCTACAGCCAGTTTTTCATCACTCAATTTTACATTAGTATCTTTTCTCCTAATGATATTAACTTTGTCTTTAAGCAATAAATTTTTTTTTCATTTTCTTTACTTATCTGCGTTAATAATTTTTGAAGAACTAGCCATATTTAATCAAATTTAATAAAATACTAGTGTGACAATGTATCAGTGAGTCTGTTACTCACTCTAGCAGAGATTTGTATAACCGTTACAAGAGTAAGTAAACAAAAGGTGATTTGAGACATGTTTTATTTGACTAAATCTTTATTAATTTTCTTTTATTCGCTATAACCACCTGTTTCTATTCTCTTATATTTTATATGTTATTTATACTTCTCTTCCTTACATCTGTCTATAATAACTTAGCCATAGAATAATAGGTACTAATACTAAAGTTGGATAACATAATTCTTTTTCACAATTCTCTTGTCTCTCCCTTTATTACCTAATCTTCATAGTTATCTGGATACTAATATGACAATTGATTATATAACAAACATTATATTTCATTTTTATCTGTTACATTCCTTCACACTTATTATATGTGTACCATGCATTTTTCTTTTCTTTTTATAAAGGGACAGGGATTTAATTATAACACGATTCATATCTCTTGTTTTGTAGGAGTATAATAAATACTTTTATCAAGAGCTAATAACATCTGTTCATTAGAAAATTTTTTGGCAAAGATCTTTAAAGATCTTTGGATATAGACCTCCAGAGAACCTCCATCATCGTTAAAAGACTCCAGAGTAAAAATTTATATATTAAACTTCAGAGATCTTTAATTTAATTTAATAATAATAAACTATATTTATATTTACATATTCAATTTTAATAATATTAAAATTTAAATTTATTGGCTTACAAAATTATTTTTATTATTATTTATTCTTGTTTACATTTATTTATTTGATTAAATCTTTGCTCATTGCCAAAGTCCTTCTTTCTAATTTTCCATTTTTCAGTAGTTGTCCCAGATTATTCTCATTATTTTCATATTCCTCTGGATTATCTTCTATAGTAATAATTTGTTGATCAATCATTTCTTCATATTCACTACTTGAATTTTCTTCTTTGAATCCAAGTCTTTTTTTAATTCTCTCCTAAAAATATTATTAGCAAAAATTTATATTATTTTGAAGACTTTTAAAACTCACCTTATTTTTTTTTACTTTGCTTTTAATTAACATTTTATTTATCGAAGTACTTTTATTATTCAAATCAAGAACTGTTTGACATACTACAACTTGTTTGTAGAAGGCATCTCCCTTTGGCCAGACTTTTTCAAGAATATGGGTTATCATGCTTTGTATTTTTTTTCTTAAACATTTGTGAAGATTTTCAAAGCATTCAGTAGTCTTCCGAGATTGTTTTTAGGCCAAAATATCAGTGGCGGATGCATTCGTATTTATTGTATCCAAAAACCCTTTGCCAAAAACTGAAAACATGGTGTCACAAATTTTTGAAGCTATAGTTTCCCAAAGCAATTGATATTGTTTTATGAGTTTTTAAAACAATAAGGTATTTAATAACTAAAGAACTAAAATTATTAATATTTATAAGAATTACTGCTTGATGAATATGTTTTTCATAATATATTTTTCAGCATTTTCTTGTAAGGCCTTTATAGAACTTTAAATGTTTTTGCTGAAAAAATTCCTTGATTGTTTGGTAAAAATCTTCAGGATCCAGATATACTTTTCAAAAAATACTTGTTTTGCAATACTCTTAACCACGCACTATTTAAATAAAATATAAGTTTTCGAAGACTTTTAAAAAAATTCAAAATGAATCTTATCTCGATAAAATCATGTTCGGTAATTAAATGTTGACTTGTGTGAATTTCATTTTCAAGACAAGTAACCTTATTCTCTATAATTTTTTGCTGTTTTAATAATTGGTCGATTTTTTTATGAAGGCCTTTGTGGGACTCCATGATTCTTTCAATAGCTTTATTAAGGACAAATATATAAGTTAGTATTTTATTTTAAACTATAACAAATTTTTAAATATACCTAAAGTTTTTTTAGATGTTTTTTATGCTGGTGTGTCAAAAGATAATTAAAAAAAATGTCTAGGGAATTCCAATCACTTCCAAGATATTTCTGTTTCCATTTTAATAGAAGTTGAGAGTCTTTTTTCAATAGATGGCCCTTGTGTTTCCTGAGTACTCTTTGCTTTTTTAGAGAACTTCGAAGTACTTTCTTAACTTTTTCCTTTTCCCTTTTTAATAAAATCAAAAATAAGTTTTTGAATCATTTTATGCATTTCTTGTTTTTTGTTTAACATTAAAGAAAAAATGAGAACTTTAGAGACCTTATATAATACAAATTCCAAGAAATTATGTCATATTATGATTGCTAACTTTTCTTTGTCATCTTTTGAAAATTACTTCATAAATATAAATCATTAAGTTATTATACAAAAATGAAATTATTTTATTATTTTATTGATATAATTATTGTAACTTATAAATTAAATTTTTGATTGGTCAAAATTAATCAATATTTTATTAATTAATTTTATACATTTTCTAGATTTCTTTAAAGGCTTCTAAAATGAATTACAAATGTTAATTTTGTCAACATACCTTTTTAAGATATTTCTTTTATACAAGGCATGTTAGCAAATGTATTTTAACTGTGAACTCTAGTAATGAGTCTAATGAAGATTTAAATGAGTCAAAATTTCCTATTATTTCTAATAATATTGAAGATATATAGAGTGAAAGTAATGAATATTTATTAAATAATTATTTATTTTAATATAATTATTATTACTTAGAAGATTTTTAAATTTTTTTGAAATTAAAATTTCCAGAGGTTATTATTTTAAAAAATTTCTTGATATTGTATTAGGGAAATCGATTATGTTAAATAAGCCAGCATTGGTATATACAAAAGATTAGGATTATTAGGATAATGTGCATGCCTTTGTTCACCAAGGTAATTCTTTTTTTTTTTTTTTTTTTAACAGAACTCTTATTTTGTTTCTTTAATATAAATGAAGTCAAGGATTATAGATATTCAGTAAGATTTTGGATCTATTTATGATTTTTCGTGTAAGGAGAATGTACAATCATGATTTTGATGGTGATAGTAATTATAACAGCATTGAGATGTCACATCTGAGATCATGTATAAACTTAAATCTGGTGCCTGTGATTGATTTTGTTGTGGGGGCTTGTCAGAGTGTTTAGACATTTCTTGCCATTTTGAATATACAGTATATGTATACATATATAGTATATTCTAGGCATGCATTATTTGACTTCATAAGATAAACTTTCATAATTGTAATTGTAATCATGATGGTATTTTGGCATTTCCAGTCATCGGTCTTGATGCAACTCGATAAGTTGCAACATTTTTTTTCTTTTGTAGTGTTTTACCATTGGCTTCTAACTTTTTCTTATCAGTCTTTTTCTAGCTCCATGCTTCATGTTAAATTTGCCATTTGCAGGTTCTTCTTGACTCTCAACAATATTTATCGTTCCTGGTATGAGCTATTGGAGTCTTGTCAGTAAGTTTGATTCTCTATCATTGGTTTTTTCACTGTTATTTTTTTTTTACTAGATGGTTCTTCTTCCTTTTAGGAACTTGTCCCTTGCTTCTTTCGGCATCACAATTTTCATGATTGTCAGCACCTGGCATGACCTTAGGGACCAGCGACTTGTTAAGAGGTAAACATTCTCTTTCTTTTTTTTTCTTTTTTATACATAGTTGCATTTCTTTATCAAAGTTGCATCCAAGTTTTCTAACCAGTGATTTGATGAAATTACCAATCACACAGATGTGTACCGAAATGTAATCTTCTTTGGAAGCAAAAGTTATGGTGAACTGATGCTATTCCTAGCATAATACTTCAGGATAGCACAAGAAGGTATGGTATCCTGCCTTTGTCTTAATGTATTACTTAAAAAAAAACAACAACTAATGTTAATCTGT